AGAATAGAATAGTAGAATGGAATAGAATAATAAAATAGAATAGAATAGAATAGAATAGAATAGAATAGAATAGAATAGAATAGAATAGAATGGAATGGAATGGAATGGAATGGAATGGAATGGAATGGAATGGAACGGAACAGGAATAGAATAGGAATAGGAATAGAATGTAGAAGTAATAGAATAGAATAGTAGAATGGAATAGAATAATAGAATAGAATAATAGAATAGAATAGAATAGAATGGAATGGAATGGAACGGAACGTAGCAGGAATAGAATAGGAATAGAATGTAGAAGTAATAGAATAGAATAGTAGAATGGAATAGAATGATAAAATAGAATAGAATAATAGAATAGAATAGAATAGAATAGAATAGAACAGAACAGAACAGAACAGAACGTAACAGGAATAGAATAGGAATAGAATGTAGAAGTAATAGAATTAGAATAGTGGAATGGAATGGAATAGAATAGAATAGAATAGAATAGAATAGAATAGAATAGAATAGAATAAACAGAGTTGGAAGGGACCTTGGAGTACTTCTAGTCCCAACTCCTTGCTTAAGCAGGAAACCCTACACCATTTCAGACAAACGGTATAGTTCCAAAGCAGGCAAATTCAAGGAGATAAATAGGTACCACTGTGGTGGGAAGGTAACAGGTTATAAATACGAACAGTTGCCAACCATTCTGCATTTTGATCAAGATGATCATGGGCAGATGGCGAAGGTCCTAATTATGAAAAATGCTTGTAAGTCAAACTTTTCAGTGCTGTTGTAACTTTGAACAGTCACTAAAGGAACTGTTGTAAGTTGAGGGCTGCCTGTACAGCTTCCAATATAAGAAAGGACATTGAGTTCGAAAAGCTTAAAAACGATTCCGTGACATAGTTTACCAGCCTAGTTTCCATTTCTGTAGATCCCAAAATTATGATGAATTAAAAAGATGGAAAAAAACAAACAAACCCGTGACCTATAAAATAATCTAGGGCATTCCTCCCAATATGATGTCCTCCAGGTTTCTCAGGACATCAGAGGACTATAATCCCACCCAATTTAAAGTCTGCAGAAAGAAAAAAAATTGCTCCGCTTTCGCAGGTAACCGTAGGCCAGTTGTTTCCTTCGCTGTTTCCAGGGTGGTCTCGCGGGCCAGAGATCTAAACCCCCCCATGGGCCAGCCCCTGGGTCTTGAGTTTGACCCCCTTGCTCAGCAGCATGCAATGCCAGTCCTGTTCACCAGAAGTGCTTCCTGTTTTATGTAAAAGGGAGAACATTTATCCAAATTCTTGAACTAACCGAGGCCCAGGAAATTTGGAGTTGGGCAAGTGGAGAGAGCTGGAGGACCAGGGGAAGGAAGGGCATCTAGATAGACAGAGGGAACAGTTTATGCCTTTCACCCAAGCGATGTTTTGTGCAGGGGTGGGCTTCAAAAATTTTAGCAAGAGGTTCTCTGGCTGGTTGCTGGGTGGGCATGGCCATGGTGGACGTAGCCTAGTCGGCCTCCTGCACCACGGTGGGGAGAGGGGGACGTTTTTGCCCTCCCTGGGCTCTGGAGGGTTTTCTTGAGCCTCCAGGAAGGCAAAAATGGCGTCCCCAGACTCCGGAGGCTGGAAACAGGCCCGTTTTCACGACTTCCTAAACTTCCAGGAGGCCCATTTTTCGCTCTCCCTGAGCCTCCAGGCAGGCCTTGCCCTTACCTGCACCTAAAATGGGCCACATGGGCAGGGGTGGGATTCCAATTTTTTAACAACCAGTTCTGTGGGCGTGGCTTAGTTTGATGGGCGTGGCTTGGTGGTCATGGGACTGGGTGGGCGTGGCTTGTGACTAGGTCATGGGACTAGGTGAACGTGGCTATATATTAATCACCTATCCATTAAATGTTACTGGCTGGGCGTGGCCAACTCAACATCACTCACATCGAGGCATGCATCTCCTCGCCTGGCCTCTCGTGACTGTGGGGATGCTGCAACAGTCGTAAGTGTGAAAAATGGTCATAAGTCACTTTTTTCAGTGCCATTGGAACTTTGAATGGTCACTCCACACAAGCAAAGTACCAGCAAAGGAGGGGAAAAAAACTCCAGAGACGTTCCTGAGACAGGAAGTCTAGTCTTGCCAAGAATGTAATAAGGGTTAATCGAGAGGCAGTTTCTGTAAGCAACTCCAGAATGTTTCCTTCCTGCCTTCCTTACAGGATTAGCCCAGTAATTTCTTCTAACAACCGGTTCTCCGAACTGCTTAGAATGTTAACAACCGGTTCTAGCGAATAGGTGCGAACTTGTAGAATCCCACCCCTGCGCATGGGGATTCCTGGCAGGGGAGGGGAGGGGCAGGGTAGGCGGGGCCAGACAGGAGTGGGATTTGGGAGTTCTCCAAACTGTGCAGAATCTTAGCTAGGGGCTCTCCTGAACCCCTGCGAACCCCCAGCAGCCCTACCCTTGGTTTTGTGCCCACACTTCCTTTGGGGAGGGGTTTCCTTCTCTCCCGGACTTACTTGATGGTCCACTCTTTCGTGTTTATTAAAGTTTCCAGGAAGAAATACTGCAAGGTAAGAATCGGTTTTCCCCAGAGGACGATACTCTGACGTGCTTCTCGTTCTTTCTGCCTTGGGTCACTCGACAAAGAAGGCTCTGGAAAAGGAGAAATGGGAGAGAATGTAATCCTCGGCTTACAACTGTTTGTTTAGTGACCGTTCCAAGTTACAATGGCCCTGAAAAATGCGACTTAGGACCATCTTTCGCAGTTACGGCCATTGAACCATCTCCATGCTCATGTGATTTACATTTGCATGCTTGGCAAAGTGACTCATATTTATGACGGTTGCAGTGTCCCGGGGTCATGCAATCCCCTTTTGTGACAAAGTCAAGGGGGAAGCCAAAATCACTTAACAATCGTGTTACTAATTTAAGAACTGCAGCGATTCACTTACCAAAAGTGGCGAGAAAAGCCATTAAATGGGGCAAAGGTTTTATCCCTAGACTGTGAGAATGTTGCATAAGTGGCTGTAAGTCACCTTTTTCAGTGCAGCTGTAAGTTTGGCCACTAAACAAATTGTTGTAAGTCGAGGACTACCTGTGAACACATTGTAGAGGTAATCCTCAACTTACAATTCATTTAGTGACCATTGAAAAAAGCAGCTTATGACCATTTTTCACATTTACAACCGTTGCCGCATTCCCATGGTCATGCAATCAAAATAGAATAGAATAGAATTCTTTATTGGCCAAGTGTGATTGGACACACAAGGAATTTGTCTTGTACTCTCAGGATACATAAAAGAAAAGATAAATTCATCAAGAATCATCAGGTACAACACTTAATGATAGTCATAGGGTACAATAAGCAATCGAATCATACTAGGAAACAGTCCATATAAATCGTAAGGATACAAGCAACAAAGTTACTGTCCTACAGTCACAAGTGGGAGAAGATGGGTGAAAGGAAGGATGAGAGGATTAACAGTAATAGTCGTGCAGACTTAGTAAATAGTTGGACAGTATTGAGGGAATTATTTGTTTAGCAGAGTGATGGCGTTCGGGAAAAAACTGTCCTTGTGTCTAGTTGTTCTGGTGTGCAGGGCTCTATAGCATCGTTTTGAGGGTAGGAGTTGAAACAGTTTATGTCCGGGATGTGAGGGGACTGTAAATATTTTCACAGCCCTCTTTTTGACTCGTGTAGTATACAGGTCCTCGATGGAAGGCAGGTTGGTAGCCATTGTTTTTTCTGCAGTCCTAATTATCCTCTGAAGTCCGTGTCTGTCCTGTTGGGTTGCAGATAGAGGTGCAGATGATAGACATCACACTTGACAAAATTCATCACACTTAACAAAGTGACTCATATTTATGACATCGGCAATGTCCCAGGGTCATGTGATCCCCTTTTGCGACCGTCTGACAAGTAAAGTCAATGGTGGAACCAGATTTACTTAACAACCGGGTTGCTAACTGAACAACTGCGGGGATTCGCTTGACAACTGGGGCAAGGAAGTTCGTAATATGGGGCCAAACTCCCTTCACAAATATCTCGCTTAGCAACGGAAATGTTGGGCTTGATTGTGGTCGCAAGTCGAGGACTACTGTCCTTGTTTCGTTCTGCAGGAATGATTGTTACTGACCCACCGTACCTAGAAACCTTCCGTTGTGGTGTTCTTTGCTCATCGCAGTGCGCCTCAAGTCAAAACTTCTTCCATTCTCTGCCATCTCATAGGCCAGTCACTTCGCGGTGCCTAATATCAAAATTAAAACACAATCACCAACCAGAATTATGATGTAGAAATCAGCTTGAAGACAAAAAGGCCCATTTCGGTAACCCAGGAACGGTTACAGAAATTGGGAATATCTAGTACAAATGAAAACAAGGACTAGGAGGGACAGGATAGCAACCTTAAAATATTTGAGACTCTAAAAAGAGTACAGAGAAGAGCAACAAAGAGGATTAGGGGACTGGAGGCTAAAACATAGGAAGAACGGTTGCAGTAGTATAAATGAAAAGGAGGAATGATAGTAATCTTAAAATACTTGAGACTCTAGAACAGGGTTCTCCAAAGCTGGCAACTTTACTTCAACCCCCAGAATTCCCCAATCAGCATTTATACCAGGGATCTCCAAACTTGGCAGTTTCTGGCTGAGGAATTCTGGGAGTTGAAGTCCACAAGACTTAAAACTGCCAACTTTGGAGGCCTCTGCTCTAGAAAGAGTGGAGAGAAGAGAAACGAAGATGATTAGGGGACTGGAGGCTAAAACATACAAAGAACGGGTGCTGGAATTGGGTACGTCTAGTATAAATGAAAAGAAGGACGAGGTCGGACATGATAGCAGTGTTAAAATATGTGAGGGGGTCTTACAAAGAAGAGAGGTGGGTCAAACTATTTTCCACCAAAGCACCAAACGGCAGGGCAAGAAAAAATGGAAACTAACCAAGGAGAGAAGTCACCTAGAACTGTGGAATAATTTCCTAATGGTTGTCCCAAAGGTGCTATTTTTTTTTCAGGAGGCAACTGGACTTTTCTGGGTTTTTTCTTTGAAGGCGTTTCGCTTCTCATCCAGGAAGCTTCTTCAGCTCCGACTGAAGGGTCGAGAACGGAAGGGCTTATACTCCTTGAAGACAGCTGGTCGTTATTGGAAGGAACATAAATCTGCAAGGAATATAAATCTTTCCATGCCCCACCCTCCAGTCACACCAGCTGTCTGCAAGGAGTATAAAGGAGTATAAGAAGCTTCTTGGATGAGAAGCGAAATGTCTTCAAAGAAAAACCAGAAAGTCCAGTTGCCTTTTGAAAAAAGCACCTTCGGGACAACCACGACCTGGAGGACTGAGCAGCTCCATAGACATTTCCTAATGGTGAGAGCAATTAACTATTCACCCTCTGCAACCCTCTGACAAGCGAAATGGGAAAGCCGGATCCCCTTAACAACTGTGTGTTATTAACTTAACCGCCGCACTGATTTGCTTAACAAACGTGGCAAAGAATAGCCATAACATGGAACCGCCCTGCTACTTAGCAATGGAAATCTGGGGCTGAATTGGGTCATAAGTCGAGGACTACCAGTACAGGGCTCTGTTTCATTCATCCATACAAAGAAGAACCGCCTAATATAAAGCCAAAAAAAAATGACTGGGGGAGAGGGCTGGGAAGAGCTCTAGTGGCGCAGTGGTTAGAGTGCAATAGTGCAGGGTACTTCTGCTGCCTGCCGGCTGCCTGCAATTTGGCCGTTCGAATCTTAGCAGGCTCAAGGTTGACTCAGCCTTCCGTCCTTCCGAGGTGGGTAAAATGAGGACCCAGA